AAAATAATTCAATGAGATCCTCACAGGGACCCAACCAAGGACGGCGATCTGCTGTGAAAAACGAGAATCTGAATTCGGATTGCGAACAGAGCAAGAGCATGTATCAGGTGCGTGTATGGCGATCATTCTAGCGCATATACAACAGAATTGGTCAACTCCAAGTGGGATCAGGGACTCACCCCGGCCAGGTTGTCACGAACAAAGTTTGTGAGCATGTGATTTTTTAGCAGTACCATCGTCCGACAGAAATCCGCGGCAGGAATGATACCGGAATGCGATTTGTCCAACCTTTTGAATGCTTGAATTGCGTGTTCATCATTCATATCCTACGGAGGCAAAAACGAGAAGAAATTGACGGAATCAAAAAGAAATTAAGAGTAACAATAGAGAAACGGACACAGAGAAATTTAATCGAGGATAAGGACCACATGTTTTGTGTAACGCAAAACCACTCGGTAAGCCCCGAAGGACTAAGTGTACGGGCGAGATATATTCAAGCGTTCTCCGTTTGTTTTCGGTTAACCATAGGTTATGTGAATCTGGTGCCCGATGAATGAGTGCGAACGAGCGAGGATCCATTGGCTACTGTTAATAATCCATCGTTTTGATCCCTCAGTTCATAATTTTTTTTATTACTCTGTCCCCAAGTTATTACTCATCGTGGTCCCACGAGAGCTTGTGTTGTTACATCAACTCAACTTCACCTTTCCTCTTCTTTGTCTGACTCACTTGGTGTCATGACCATTGGACTTCAGTCGACAATCAAAGCGGTTATCTGCCTGGGTGTTTGACACCTGATAAAGTTACTAAGGGTGTACGTTGATTAACTCGATAGTGATGCATTCTGTTCCGAATACGGCTTAGTTTTTGATCGGATTTTAATCGGTAGTGCGCGTAATTCACATCACTCGACGCGGCAACCACAGTGACAACGCTTCGAACAGCCATGGGTATTCTGACGCTGAGTACGACAATATAGTATAAAGTTCGCAATCAGCGGTTGACCGACAGGATTCGATCAGTAACATAATGGGTAAAAGTGGTCTGATATGCCTATCCTCAGGTGGTCAGCACCTGGAGTCGATAGTTGGGCTGATCCAGTATAACATGTGCAAATTCATGAGAACCTCAGTATTAGTTATTATCCAGTGTCCCAAGAAATTGAACGATAGTTTTCTGACTGTTTAGATTAGACAATTTACTTCAGAGTGAAAAGGCAAATCTGTATGTGACCTAGTACGCCCTCCCTGACTGATATACTTGTAATCAGCGAGGGATATTTCAGTAAACTTGGCATTTGATATCGAAAAGACGAAATGGGGCAAAATTGGTAAAGGTTGCAGATCCTGGTTTCGGAATGCTTTGAATGGAAACACGAATTACAAACAAGGTAAAAGATAAAATCAGATGGAATGCTACCGGACAAGCGATGCTTCAATAG